AAACCTTTTGTTAAAAACTAAGACACGAACACACGCATTAGCCTAGGCCTACATAGGGTCAGGATGATCAACGTCACTGTTTCCACCTCCACATCTTGTCCCACTGTAAGGTCTTCAGGGGCAACAACAAGCATGGAGCTCTCATCTCCTAGGATAACAATGCCTTCTTCTGGAAAACCTCCTGAAGGACTTGCCCAGGCTATTAAATATTAATAGTTAACTTTTTTTTATAAACAGAAGGAATACACTCTAAAATAACAATAAAACTTACAGTAAATACGTACACCAGTGGCATCACCATTTATTATCAAGTATTACGTATTATACAAAATTGTATGTGCTATACTTATAAGGCTGACCACAGTAAGTTTGTTTACACCAGCATCAGCACAAACACTTCAGTAATGCATTGCACTTCAAAGTGATGACTGTCATGATGTCACAGGCAATAGGAGTTTTTCAGCTCCATTACAATTTAATGGGACCACTATCATATATATGGTCTGTTATTGATCCAGATGTTGTTATGTGGCTCATGAATGTATATACATTTTATTATATGCCAATTATACCTCAATAAAGCTGTTTTTCAAAAATAATATAAAATGCAATAGACATATCTATTATATCTACTTAAGCTTTCGTTTGAACAAAAGACATAAAAGATTAGAGTAATATCTCTTAGGCCTAGAAACTCTTAGGCAGGTCAATTAAACATCTGAAAGTACAAGAGATACTTTCTTCATCAATTTCTACTTATTACTTAGCCTTTGAAGAGCAGTATAGCACATTTTTCAGGACACTGGGCTTGGGGTCAGAGGTCCTGGTTAAAATATTGTCTTTGCTACTATTTGCAACATAACTTTAAACAAACTTAAAGTCTCTGAATTCTATTTCCTCATCTGTAAAATAAGGTTAGTAACACTATCATACAAAGAAGTTATAAAGATTAGTAAAAATCTTTATAGTAAAAATAGCTAAATTATGGAGTGTTTGCCATGGGTTAAGCATAGGGTAAGTCCTTTACATGAATTACCCTAATTACTTCTAATAACCATACCAGACTATTTCATAGATGAGGAAACTGAGACTTGAAAAGCCTTGTTTAAATTCACACAGCTATAAATGCTGGAGCTAGGATTTGAAGTCACATAGCATAATTTCAGATTCACAATCTTTAGTTACATAATGTTTATAAATCATATAGTATAAACCACATACAGAGTTGGTACTTAAATGTGTTGAAATAAATTAAATTCAGCTACTACCATTTCTGTCATATGTCATTTCATTTTTATATGAGGCTTACTAAAATAGTGCTGTGAAGGAATGCTGAAATTTCCAATCTTTCTAGACTCACAACAAGAAATGGAGTCTACTATTTCTAAATCACAAATCTGATCATGCCATATTCCAGCTTAAATGTTTTCAAAAATATCTCACTGCCAATGTCAACTGCTCATGGTATGAGGCATAGAAAATCCTTCAAGGCACAGAGTTTGCAGTACCCAACACCCTTCAAAATGTGATCCCTTATTATCTCCCACAGCCACCATTATGTACACTATTCTCTGAACATTCCTTTGTGCCTTTGGACGACCGAAAACACGTTTCCCAACCCTGAGAAATTCTTCATTATCATTCAAGTTCAAGCTCAAAATAATCTCTGGTTCTCTTCAATTCTCTAAACAATTATTATATTTACTTCTTTATACTTGACCATACTTCAAAAGATTTAAGGAGCTCCCATTTTTCTCAAGAGCTAGACATTCATACAACCCTCTTTATATATTATAATCATGACCTTTAATCACAAATATTGACATGATTTCTTTATATGGAAATCACTGGAAAACCCAGAGATTCTCTTTTATTACTCTTTGTATTACCCCAGTGCCTAATCAACTCCCAGGAACATCATAGACTACTAAATAAATTTTTGTTGAATGATTTTATGCTATCTACTTGGAAAAAGAATTACAAGAGAAACAGGGAAGTCTTTAAAGATATATACTGCATATGTAATAATCTCTACAGAAATAATAAACTGAATTTAACCAAAATATGTAGCAATTCAGCAAAAAACCTCTAGTCAACTTTCAATAAGAAATTTATTTCTTTGTTCTTAAAGGCTGCAGTTCAAGGAATAAATAAAGCATCAAAAGAACATACTAACAAACAAAACCTGTTACATATACGGAGGTTTATAACATTCTAATCAATTCAACAATCATTTACTGATGACCTATTGCATGAATATTATACTGAAGATTTCTGTTAATGTAAATATATGTTTTCATAAAAAAAATCTATAATGATCCTTAATATGGATGTTTGTGGTTTAAAGGAAGAAAAAGGCATGTTAAAAATTATATCATTTTAGTTTCTATAAGAAAGGTATGAGCTATGTGCTAAGGTATCTATCTGAGGGGAGAGAGAGTCAGTCACTAAGAATGTCATTTCAGGTAGAAGGAACAGAATATTAGAAAAACACCTGGAAGTAGTGAAAAGGGGTGGCAGAGATGAAGAAGACTGAAAAGTAAACCAAAACCAGACTACAAAGAGCCATGTATGCCTCCCTGAGGTTGCTGGCCTTTCTTCACTCGTGTAACAAATTATTGAATGAGCACCCACCACAGGCCAGGGACTATTTCATCCACTGGGGATGTAACAGTAAGTAAGAGAGACACAATTGGTTACTATTTAAGGTCTCTTTTAAGCAGGGAAGAAGCATATTATAACCCTATTTAGAATACTGTGAGAAAAAAATGTTGAAAATCATAGAAATGATAAATTTCTCTTCTGAGAACAAGATGACTCAGATTTAACACATTAACTGCCATGTGAGTTGTATTTAACTCATGCTAGTTTTGAGCCTGGGGCCTTGTCAAGCAAAACCCTGCAGTTGGTTTACGAAAATCTTACTTGTTGATGTTCTTATTGTTATAATTAATACTGACAATTTAATTCTAAAAACGTGGATCACGTTGCATATAACACACATAGAAAACAATAAAAAATAACAAATTAGAAAGGATTGTTTTGTTTTAATAAAACACTTAAGTCTTAGTAACAAAACTCCTCAAGAGAATAATCTACTATTGTATCTTTGAAGGAAGTGAGATTGTTAGATTTTGTGAAAATCAAGTATGTTAGTTATTTTCTAAAATGAAACTGAGCCAAATTCTATTACACATGAAGAAAGCAGTAAGAAATCCCGGCTAAAACAGAAATTGCAATGCATAATTCATAATCCTTTTAATATTACTTAACTGAATGCATTTACACCATTTAAAATCCTAACCGAAAATACTCAGTATTCCTTTAAGTATCAATTCTTAAAATTTCTGTCATACTGAAAAGTCCATTTAAGAATCACCCTCCAAAAAAGCTAAATAAACAGATGGGCCTTCTAAATATCCTCCACTCCCTGATGATAAAATGATAAATAAGAAGTTACTACTGCCCTTGAAGAAAAAAACATAAACAACAGTAACACCATGTTTAGTAAGAACTTAAGGTATAATAGGAGTGAGAGAAGAATAATAACTTCCTCTTGGGAGGGTAAGATACCCTCCTTATTCCCAGGAAAAGTATGGTTTGAGTTAATGCTGAATGCTGAGGAAAATGGAAGAAAAACAAAGTTCTCAAGGGGAGATTTTAAAAGACAAAACTTTGGCTGCACAATCATAACAAGCTCCACTGACAAACCATTCAGATTGCACGTTTGGGTTTTCACCAGCACACTCTTAATAATAATTCAACATGCCAGATGTCACCTTCACTTTAGGATGCTGTGCCAACACATTCACAGCACACAAGAAGAGAATAAAAGATAGTCTAACCTCAGTTATGTATTTTATTTGGCTAGGTTTGGTTTGCTTGTCTTTAGAAAAAACCACCATAATAGTGAGGGCTGGTTTCACAAAATCAGTATTATAATTAAGTATACAAACATCAGAGGCTTAAAGCATAAGTAAAATTGGAGGCTAAGAATCTGGCATTTTCTACGAATATATTATATTCGTAAGAAAAATGAACTCATATCGATTGGCTCAGTGTATATTATAAGTATTCCGCCAGTATGTCATTTTGAGTATTGTACTTTAAAAGTGTTGTAGCCTAAAATTATTTAATTGGTATTACAAACAGTCTTGTTGGCCCAAATTGTAAAATCTTCCTTCTGATAAACAGCTGCACTTCTAATCATGGCAATAAAATAGAAGCAAAAAAGTCCCTGTCAAATTCTGTTGAGTCCCACAACGAAAATGTCATTTTCAGTTTCTTGGCTGATATTTATGGTAATAATTGGTTTTAGTTCTGATTTTAACCTTTAAATTACTTCCACTAGATTGCTCAAAATCCTTAAAAAGGGTAAAGTATTTGGGCACTTACATGGTCAAATCTACAGAACGTCAGATGTTTCATTGTGGGTAATTTTCTTAATGCAAATTTTTTATAGTATATATGACTTTAAACTCTCCAAAACTAATTAAATAAAGCAAAGATATCATTTTAAACAACATCTCCTACACAAGAAAATTTCATTATTAACAGAATCCTCAATAGAATTTTTGAGAAGACACTATTGCCACTAGCATTTAATCTAATAATATTTGAATAAGTTATTATAATTTCAAATCAAGAACTTAATAGAAATAGCAACAGACCCAAAACACAGGTAATATAAATGAAAGTATTAAGGACTTATTATCAGTTCAATATACAAATGTGTGTGTGTGTATTTCAAAGCTTAACAACATATTTGGTATTGATTTCCTGAAGAACACAAATTTAGAAATACTTAAACTGGTACCCTTTACAATTTCTAATATTTTCTATATAAAATTTAAGAAAATAATTTTCAGATCCTCTGTTTTATAGAAATAAGTTAATGCATTATTTGAATGTGACATTAGATGAATAAAAAAACAAATACTTTCATGAAATCTTTTGCTCTCTTAAAAAATTTGAGACCACATCTCGACTCAAAATAGAAAAAATTAGCTGGGTGTTGTGGCCTCTGCCTGTAGTCCCAGCTACTCTGGAGGCTTAGGCAAGAGGATTGCTTGAGCCCAAGAGTTTGAGGTTGCTGTGAGCTAGGATAATGCCACTACACTCTAGCTGGGGCTACATACATACATATATACATACAAACATACATACATAAATAAATATACTTGTAGAGCTAGGAGTCTGGTGTGAGGGAGGAGGGAGCATAGAGGTGCAGTGAGTTCAATCCTTCTACACAGGGTCTAAGGCCCTTTGTTCCGCTGACCCTGGGCCACAGTGAGCAGGTGGGGCTGGGCAACGTTGGGGGGCACAGAATGCCATGAGGTGAGGTGGGGGTCTCTTCCCTTGCCAAAGGCAGCTTAAGGAAGGAGGAAAAAATGTAATAAATAGATCCTAGGGCCAGGAGAACTGAGCATTCCCAGAGAGCAATAATAGGGCAGCATTCCTGCATCTGAGGGAGGAACCAGTGCACGTTTTGCACGTTTTCAGGGTAGGCTGGGATGGAGGAAGCAGAAGTGAGATCGGATACCCTGGACTGTTTGGAGATGTCGTCCCCTACCCCAGGATCTAGGTTTTTCTTTCTCTAGTGGCAGACAGGGAGGGAGAGAAATGGGACAGCAGGGGTGAGAGAGGGCAGGGGGGTGGCCAAATAGCTCAGAGAGGGCAAGGCACTCACTACCAAGTAAGATCTGAGGTCTGTATGTGCTAAGCCACAGGAACAAGATGGACAAAAGAAAAACAGGAAGAGTTTTTCCGTAACTCCTGGCTACTGAGGTTCCCCCCACAGGAGGGATGCAGCCCTCCCCAGGGCCCCACCCCTCTGCCAAGCTGGAGAGAATGAGATCTTGGAGGAAGAAACCCACTCCCCACTCTAACCCCAGACTTCCTCCCTTCCAGTTCAGACGCTCCATCCCTGTCATGGGCAGGAGAAGCTGGAGCCAATGGGAGACAGAGCCGGAGTCTGGGGTCTCTGAAAATTTGGACATGGGGTAGAAGGGAGCTGGGGGGAGGCTCCAAGTGTGGCTGGCTTAGGGAATCCAGCAAGGATGCCATACCAACCACACTAGCAAACGATTCTGAGCAGCTGGGCCCCAGAACCAAACCCCAGAAGGAACCCACGAGAATAGCCCTCAGGGCGCCCAGGTCAGTAAAAGTAAGTCGCCTTCACCACCAGACCAGCCAGTGGGCACCCTGCCTGGGCCCAGGGCCTTTGGAACTCCATGCCAAGGACAGGGGCTCAGGGAGGAGGCGCCATCCGAAGCAGTGAGCATGAGAAGGGACTCCAGAGAGGCCCGGAAGGAGGGGAGGATCCAGGGCGGGAGACAGGCGGAGTTCAGACGTCCAGCACGTGGTTCAGGTAGGAGATATAGCAGATGGCGAGGCGCAGGATTTCAATCTTAGAGAGCTTCTTGTCCGGGGGCAGCGTGGGCAGCAGCTTGCGCAGCTCGGCGAAGGCCAGGTTGAAGGCTTCCACGCGGATGCGCTCCCGCGTGGCGTGGGCCGTGCGGTACTTGGCGGTGGCGCGGCGCCGGCGCCGGCGCTCCTCCCGGCTCAGGTGCTGCAGGTCTTTCCGGCCAGGCTCTCCGGGCTCTGGGCCCCGGGCTTGGCCCCCTCCGGGACCCCCGGGCCCAGCACCGTCAGCGCCCGCCCCGCCCCCACAGTCGCTGAAGCCCGACTCGGTCTCCGAGTGGGTGGGAGGCAGGTCCAGCTCCATGGTGTCTGAGTTGAGCATCATGATGGAAGCCCCCTGCCCTGTGAGATCAGAATCCCCTCCCCACCCCTCCCTCTGGGCGCTGGAAAGCTGGTTGTGGGAGGGGCAGGAAGGGCCTGGGGTGGTGGGGTCTGCCACTGAGCTCTGGAAGTCAGAGCCACTTCAGGGTTCCATGGTCAGGGTTCCAGTCTGGAGCCTAAAAAAGAAGGGAAAATTGATAGGGGCAGAGGGAAGAAGGAGTGGACAGCTCAGAGGTTGGGGAGGGGGTTTGAGACCAGCTGGGAGGAGTAAGGAACTGTGAGTGTGGGGGAAGAACAGCAGAAACTGGGTGTGGGGGCAGGTGGAAAGACAGGCAGGTGGACATGGTGAAAAGGAGTAGAAGGAAAAATGGTAAGAAGGGAAGAGAATCCAGAAAATGAGTCACAGGAGAAGCGATGAGAAAGGCACACCAGACAGGATTAAACTGAGCAAGAGTTAAGACCTAAACTGAAAAGCTTCGTGACATTGGACTTGGCAATGATTTCTTGGATATGACAGCAAAAGCACAGACAACGAAAAGCAAAAATAGACAAATGGGACCATCATCGACCTTAACTTCAGTGCATTAAAGAACGTAATCAACAGAGTAAAAAGGCAACCTATGGATTGGGAGAAAATAATTGCAAATCATATATCTGATAAGGGGTTAATATCCAGAACATATAAAGAAGTCCTACAACTCAACAACAAAAAATCAAATAACCCGATTTTAAAATGGGCAAAGGATTTGAATAGTTTTTCAAAGATGATATACAAATGGCCAAGAAGCATGTGAAAAGACATTCAACCTTACTAATCATTAGAAATGAAAATCAAAACCACTATGAGATACCACTTCATACCCATTAGAATGGCTACTATACAAACAAAAACAAAACAAAAAACAGAAATTAAGTGTTGGCAAGGATGTGGAAAAATTGGAATCCTCTGGTCCTGTTGGGATTGTGAAATAGTGCGACCGCTATAGAAAACAGTATAGGTGTTCCTCAAAAAAGTAAAAATAGAACTATCATATGATCCAGCAGTCCCACCTCTGGGAATATATCCAGATAAAGTAGGGTCTCCGAGAGGTATTTGCACACCCATGTTCAAAGCAGCACCATTTATAATAGACAAGAGGTAGAAGCAACCCAAACGTCCATCAATGGATGAAAGGATAAACAAATGTGGTATATACATAAAATGGAATATTACTCAGCCTTAAAAAGGAAGGAAGTTCTGTCACATGCAGCAATATAGATGAACCTTGAGGACATAATGGTAAGTGAAATAAGCTGGTCACAAAAACACAAATACTGTATGACTCCATTTATATGAAGTATCTAGAGTTGTCTAATTCATAGAAACCGAAAGTAGAATGGTGGTTGCCAGGGGCTGGAGAGAAGGGGGACAGGGAAGTTATTTTTTAATGGGTACAGAGTTACATAGTTGCAAGATGAACACGGTCTAGAGATCTGTTTCAACAATGTAAATACACTTAACATTACTGAACCGTACAGTAATGGGTAATGGGTAAGATGATAAATTTTATATTATGTATTTTTACCAAAATAAATAGGTAAATAAATAAATAAGTGGGGTGAAAGCAAGACTGGAGCCACAGCTCGAAGAGAGGTTAGTTATGGCTCTAGACCTTTCCCAGCTGTGAGGGGAGAACTGCAAGCCTCGGCCCTGCAATCCTCTCTCTCTCTCACGGCCCCTCTCCACCCTTGCTGCCCGGGAAGCGGATAAACACACAGATTGCCCGTTGTAGAGTGGACTAGGACATGTGGAGCTCTGCACAGCTGCCCCAGCTCTGTCCCTCCCAGGCCCCCAAACCTCCCCAACGTAGCGACCATAGTCATCTAGCGGACACCATCCTGTCCACTAGAACCGGGGGAGTTATCTCCTCTCACCACGATCTCCCTGTGCAGGACCAGCCCCTCCCTCCACCTCTGTCCTCAACACCTCACCCCTTGCCATTCCCTAGCCCTTTTGGAGACTCTGCAAGGAAGATCAGGGAAAGGGAACGCACAATCAGCTTTCTAGTCCTGTACTTTTGCATGGCCCAGGTAGGTTCACAGGTGGCCTGTAGAGGAGGACGTGCAGAGCTTGTTGGAGCAACCCTTATGGGGCTTGGCTAAGGGTTGTTTGTCCCAGGACCAGAGGAGATCAGGGCAAGGCAGCGGTAACACAGCCTGGGAAAGGCTGGGGAAAGAGCTTTGCTTGGGGGCAGTGTTAGAGGGGAACAGTGGGCCACTCCTGGTGAGCTCAGCCTTACTTCACATCAGAAACAGAAGCACTGAGTCACCTTCACAATCACCATCTCCCCTTTCTCCCCACCCTGGCTCTCCTGCCTGACAGATACCCTCATGGGGATCAGGACCCCCATCCCCATCCCCACCCTCCCCGAGGCTTGCTTCACTCCACTACACACAAGACAAGTTCAAGTCAAGTCGACAAACAGTTATTAAGCTCGGGAGGGATGCAAGGTCAACAACATCCGATTGTGGGGAAGACAAGTACACACATAACCCTAACACACGGCGACTGGTGCTGAAATTTAGAATACCCTCCGTATTCTGGAGTCCAAAGAAACAAGAAAAGATGGTAATAGCATGAGGCCATAAAGTCAGCATCTCCCAGGACATGTTTAGTGCTCACAACTCCCCACCCCCACGCTTGGGTTGGGACCAGGAGTTCAGGCGCAGGTTCTCAGCACATCTATCCATCACAGCCCGGTTCTCTCTCTGCCCAGTCCCCATGTTCCTTCATCCCCGCTCTCTTTGCTGTGTCCTTCCTTCTCCTTTCCATGCTCCCCATCTGGCCCCAGTCCCACTTCCACCTGGCCCTACTGTCTTCCTCAGCTTTAGTCCCAGCAGCAGCTTCTGTTTTGCCATCAAGTCCTCACCCCCAAATCCACTTCTGGTCTCAAAGTTCCAGGCTCTGAGGATCAGGGGAGCAGCAGTTCCAAGCATCCAGGATGGGACTTCCCACCCCACTTCTGCTCCAACCCAACTGAGGATAGATAGGTACAAAGCATTGAAAGAGTGAAGTGAGGAAAAGGAAGATGCAGAGACAGAGAGAGGGAAGCTCTAGGAGGGGGCTTGAGCCAGAGAATGAGAGGGACACGCCCACCCCTCCCCAGCCCATGGTTCCCCCTTTACCTAGGAGGACCTTGTCAGGGGATCCAAGCCGGACAGGGGGCAGCGTTGACAGCCCCAATCTCCTCTGGCTGCTCAGGGCTCATCCGTCTGCAAAGTTAGTGACCAGCTTTCTAGAGATCTCAGGGGCAGCGTGGCATGGCTGTACAGGCTCCAGGGCAGATGAGAGGGCTACACATGGTGGAGATGTAGGGCCCCGGTGGAGGGGGTGGCCTTGGCCAGGTACTGGGGCCAGCCGCACTCACAAACACTCACACTCAGAGACACATACACACCTGAGCTGGCCCAGCCCTATGTATATATATGGAGTTACACACACACACCCCCAGCTCCCCATTGGCTGGCCCAGGCCCCCCCCTCATCAATATTAAACAGCCAGGCCAGGCAGCCATTGGCAGAGGGATCTGGGAACCCCCCGGGAGCTAGGGGCGGGGGCTGGCCCTGGGGGGGGGTGGGGAGTGGGGGAGCAGGGACATCTGTTCTCCATGCATATTTCATAAGCAAGAAATGGAGAGCTGGGGAAGGGGTGGGGCTGGGGCGAGAGCCAGGGCAGGACCACAGATGAACCCCCTCCATCTCCCACACCAGAGGCAGCAGGGCAGAGGCTCCCAACAAGCTAGGGTTAAGTGCCATGGTCCCATTCTGAGTCCCAGCATGACTTTGACAGCCCCTTTCCCCCTTCTTTCCTTTTTCCTGGAAAGAAGAGTCTCCAAGGCACGAACAGGAAACAGAGAAGAGAGCAAGTGGACAGCACCAAAATGTAGAAGAGGACCCGAGAGTCCTTAACTTCGAGCTCTCATCCTTCATAAAGCTGGTGCCCACAGCTTGCCAAGCTGCCTGTGGCTACTGTTCAGGCCCCTGCCGTCATCACTCTGGGACTCAATCAGCCCCACACCCTCTCATCCCAGCCCCTATTCTCCTACCTACCCCATCACCAGGGGAGGAGCAGAAGCAGATTTTGAACACAGACCCTACAAAGAGCCTTCCTAGGCTGGCCAACCCAACCTGATCCACTGGGAATTAGGGGCTCTTAGGAGGAAAGAGGTAAGGGCTAAAAGGAGAGGAGTGGAGTGCCAAGAGAGGAAGAACCGGCTTGGAAAGACACTGGGAGAGGAGGGCAGGGCAGCCCAGGCAGGCTTTGGGTGTGCTGGGGCATCAAATGAGCAGTAAGGACACCAGATTCAAAATTATATGCAAATAAGCACTGATTAGGTTCACACCAATAGCTCAGGCGCCTCTAGCGTGCACGTGCGTGTGTGTGTGTGTGTGTGAGTGTGTATGCATGTCGCTGGGTGGCAGGATCGAGGAGGGGGGCACCAGGACCAAGACAAGCACAGAGGCATGGGCTGGGTTTCAGTATCTGAACTTCTTTCCCCCACTCAGCTGTTGGGCGTCTTCATTGAGCCTTTGTGAGTTGCAGAGTACTCTGAGGGAGGCAGCGTGCTGCAGTGAAAAAGGCTGTCAGCTGTGTGACCTTGGGCAAGTAACAACCTCTTGAGCCTCAACCTCTTTTCCTGTAACATGGGGTCAATTATAGCTGCTTCTTAGGTTGCCATGGAGATTGAGATACTGTGCCACTTAGTAGGAGCACGGCCCACCTTCAGGCTTGAGGGATTTGCCATTTCCCTGTTGCTGATCAACATTTTCTGGGCTTTCTCCAGGGTGAGGCATTCCCTAAGGGGAGCCCCACAAGTCCTCCCCAGGCTCTCCCACTCATCTCCACCCCCGGGTCTGGGAGGTGCCGATTCTCACCTGGGCAGGCCCAGACAGGTGCTCAGGCGCCAGCAGATGGGCTGAGCTGGAGGGGAAAGGAGGCTTGAGGAGGGGGGTTGGAGGGGCAGGGGATCAGGTGGCATCTCGGCTCTTGCATCATCATTGCCATGGTGCTGATTAAAAACCAATCTCCACCTAATGAGCCCCCAGCAACAACATTTCTACCTCCCCCGCCCTCCTGCCCTCCACCCCATCCAAGAAATGGGGAGACCAAGAGACTCAGGAGAGAGGGCTGTGGGGGAGATGAGAGATACAGAGAGAATGGGAGATGGAGACAGAGACAGGGGAAGCAGAGGGAAATGACGAGGAAGATACGGGGAGATGCTGAGACTCAGGGAGAGAGAAAAATGAGAAGCCAGAGTCGTTGGGTAAAAGACGTGGGGGAGACACAGAGAAATGGGGAGACAGTCACTGGGAGATCGAGACACAGGGGAGACAGAAAGATAAAAAAGAACACGGGAGCAGAATTGCCAGGTTGCCAAGACTTTCACGAGACTCGGAAATGCAAGATATGTGGGAAATAGAGACGTGGGGAGAGACTTGAAAAGAGGAGGCTGTTAGGGAGACACAGACCTGCGTGAACACAGACGTGCAGGAAACACAGCTATTCAGTGAGAGATACTGACGGGGTGACACAGAGTCCTGAGGGAGGCCCCAAGGCAGGGTGGAGACACACAGGCATGGGGGAAACAGAGAGCAGACAGTTGGGAGGAAACAAAAAATACCAGAGACAAGGAGGCGAGGTGGGGAGATGACAACAGAACGATGGAGAAGAGGGACTCTTACTGAAATGGGAGGCCAGATCCCAAAGGGTAAGACGTTGAGGAAAACAGAAGCAGAACGTAGAGACCCCCGAGCAGAAAGGAACCATGCGGGAGGCAGGGAGGATGGAGGAAGGAGCCAAGCCCCTGTTGCCACCCTGCCTCCTTTAGGCCATTTTGCCCAGACACTTCAGCCTTGCAATCCCCATGCCTGAAGCACCCAGCCGAGCTGCCCCTCCCGCAGAGCTGTCCCCAGTGCAAGCTGAGGTTCCGTGGTGCAGGGGGTGAGAGTGCTCCAGGGACCACTTCCTCCTCCTCTGCATCTGCCATCCCTGGATCCTGGACTCCGGGGCCCCCAGCCCCAGTCTTCACTCAGGGATTTAGTTTTTGCGCCTTAGGAGAGTAGCTAAAAAGAACATACTCATGTGATAAAGAGGAACTAAAAGCATGAGATGGTGAAAAGAACATTTACTGAACCTGAAGGCCACTTAAACCTGGGTCTAAGTCCTGGTGACCTTGGACAGGTCACTTAACCTTGACTTTTTTGTCATAGGGTTGTTGTGACACCCAGGTGGAACAGCATGTGGGAAAGTGCTGGGTAAACTGTAAAGCACTCATCCTGACCCCTGCTGTACAGTGATTCAAGGTGGCAGGAAGTTTCATGCACACATATATCTGAGGCATTCAGTTGAGGGAAGCAGCCCCAGGCCCCAGGGGGAAGAGCAGTGGCAGCCAAGGGGTCGCTTTGGTGTATGGAGGGCAGGAGGAGCAGGGCCTGGGGATGGGGAGGAGGATTATGGCTTTATGGTTTATTGTTATTGTACTTTTTTTTTAGCTTGAAAATCTTCATCGGCTTTTATTTGCGATTCTAGAACTGGGCAACACCTCGTTCTATGTGACAGAATGAGTGTTCCCAGTTATTTTACATTATATAGGTGTTCACTTTTTCAGACTGCGGTTCCCAGATCTTTCTGTGCCCAGACAGCCTGTGAGGTAGATTGCTGCTGAGGGGAGACCGGTGTGCAGGGAAGACACAGAGGCCTGGGCCTTGTCCTTGAGGGTGGGGGGAGGGCCTGGAGGAGCTGGGAAGCAGTGGGTTTGGCAGGAGAGGGGGGTGACATATGTGGGGAGCCCTGGGGACCCAACCAGGCAAGCGGCTGGCAGGGAGAGCAGACGGCGTTAACCCTTGCTGTGCCACACTGCCCGACCCTTCCCCGGTTGTGGCTCGTGGCTGGGGTGTTATTTTCTACCGGTGGCATCTGGGGCCACAGGAGCGAGACAGGCAGAAGGAGGCTGGGCAGAAGCCGCTGTGTTTCTGGGAAGGGGTAGCATGTCTTGGAGCATCTTCACCTTTGAGTTTCTCTCCTTGTCTGTTTCCACATGGTTTCTGTCAGTCTGTCCTTCTCTGTCTCCACCTCTCTGTGCCTCTGGAAGGTGACAGCGGGTCTCCACTCTGGCTCACTACACAATCTGTCACTCTCTCTGCTGCCAGCCCGGCTGGAAGCCCCCCTTCTCAGCACCCAGCCCGAGCCCTCTCGCCCCTGGCCCCCTAGGCCTGTCGCCTTTGTCTTCCAAGGCGGCCTCCCCTTTCTTCTTTCCTCTCCGCTCACCTCTCCTCAGCTCTGAGCCCATCTCCAATCTCATTACGGCCTCCAACCACTGTGCCGCCCTCCCCCACCCAGCCTCTTCCCTTCCCTCCCCCATCCATCTGTCTTCCCTGAAGCTCTCTTCTTTGTGTCCACCCATCTGTCACCACCAGCTCTGGGCCTACTCCCCTCCTGGCCACGCCTGCCTGGCCTTTCTCCCCTCAGGCTCATTTCCCTCTCCGCACAGCTCTGGCCTCCCTTTCCTCCTTCAGCCCTACCAGAAACCCCACTTCCTTAGTTTCCTTTCACTAGCTTATTTATTTCTGGATACCCTCTCTTATCTCAGTTTTTTCTTTCTTTTCCCGTTGCTCTAATTCCTCCTCACAGTGAGTTGGGGGAGAGAGAGTGGGACTCTAGGGTCCTAGCCCCAGCCCCTGAGCAACCAACCAGCTTGAGCCAAAGGCTGGTAACGTTTACTCACAATTGCGTCACCTCAGACTAATGGCTTCTCCTTAGGCCTCTTGAGATGACCTCTCCACTCTGCTCCAAGTTTCCCCTGGTTGGGGACAGGGGCTGCAGCTGCCCTTCTCCACAACAGGAGTGTGGGAGCTCCTCTAGCTTCTGACTTTGAATTCAGGAAGGAGTTAAAAATCAAGCGGCGGCCCACTTGGACCCCAACCTTCCAAGGGTCTCTGCTTCCCCAGCTCAACCTCGGCAAGTCCTGCCAAGCTTTTTTTGAGGATGAGATGCTGAGTGACAGGGTCTTTTTTCTATCGTGTTATGCCACAGTTTTCCCAAATTCCTACTGCCCCTGGGTTAGAGGGGAATAGTGCCCCTCAGGCCTTCCTCCCTAGAACTGACCCGAGTGCCACCTTTGAGAATTCAGGAATTGGTCAGCCTTTCAAATCGCCCCAGCACTGAGGAGTTTAAGATGAAAAGGAGAAGGGAGAGGAGGCCACGACTCTAGCTCTCTCTTCACAGAACCAGACTGACAGGGTTGGGGACCTCAGAGAGCAGCCCCTCGTCCAACTCCACATAAAATGGAGAGGATGCCCTTTCCACGGTCACAGGGAGCACTAGTGGGCAGCCCAGAAAAGCTGGCCCTAAGCTCTTTGTTAAGCTCCTCTTTATGGCCCCGTCCGCCTGAC